CGTAACGCTCGCCGTACTGTTGGGGGGGAGAAGCGGTGGGGGGGAGATGTTCATGTTGCTGCGGTCTGCAGTCTGAACGTTAGATGTCGCTGAAAATTACACACTGTAGCTTTAACATATAGATATTGTTTCTGGCATTTGTACCCAGAATTCATAGTTTTAAAACCCATTTATTCACTGATTAGTACAATCTAATTGCTTCAATCTAATTTGATATGAGACTCTATCCCTGGCACAGCCATCGAAGCTATCTAAATGAATAGAAATGAATCATTTTTCACATTATAGTTGAAATCCTATATAAAAAGTAGCATTAATTAAAATCCTATATTTAGGTAGGTCCGTATTTCTGAATAAGAAGTCAATGCTTGTATGCCGTTCTGTTGGCCTTGGGACCTTAGCAGCAGTAATAATGACGAATACCTGCCTTCAGACTTTGCAAAGTACTGCATTAAAACAGAAGATCATTTTTATTAACTTTGGCTATAGTCTATAATAGCTTTTTTTGAATGTGTATTTTTTAAGGTTCATTGTTTTATTGTCCCATTAAAAAAATAACACTCATCTGAGTTCTTAAATCGTTTCATGTCTTGTTGATTAAATTAAATGACTTAACTGCTCATTTCCTTTCAACTAAACATGTTGCCTGCAAATTGAGCACTGTGAGGACCACGTTCTTTGATCTCTCTAGTACACCATCAGCCTAAACCTCTGAGGGAAGTGAACCTCAACCTGCCCATGTGTTCCTGTTCTCCGCCTATACTGCAGGCTTCTCTGTCAACCTCCGACTGTCACTTTCAGATGTTGAGATGACTCTTCCAGATTAGCTGTCGTCACAGGGGAGGACTACTTACAAATTTAGTTTTGTACAGCTCTCATGACATTTCCATTTGTTAAAGTGCAACAGTGATCAAATGTAAACAGCGTGGGAGAAAAAAAACATGGTGCAAACTCAATAAGTTCAACATTTCTGTTTTCATTTTTTGTGTTATAGAAACAATCTGTTTTAAGCATATTTCTTGGGATTACCCACTTTATTTTCACTGTTTAATTTTGGATTATTCTAACACTAGTGACAATATTTTTTTCTGTCTATTCTGTCTCTACTGCTTCCATTTGTTTTTCATTTAGCTTCTTGGACGCTCTTCTATTCTCTGAAAGTGAACGATGAGTGTCTGTTTATAGTCAGACGCTAACCTTGAGTTAGACGCTCATCCAGCCAAGCCTTATCTTTGTGAAGGATTTCTGCCTGCCTGTGAAATGAAAACAAACAAAAGCCTTTAAAAGAATTGCATGTGTTTTTCAGCTATTGACACATGGAAAAAAACTCCTCTGCAGTCAGCGTCTGATGACATCACAACATGGCGATGTCGGCAAGCTTTAGTCCTGATTCAGAAAACACGCACAAAGCGGCCGTGATAAACCCAAATATACAGACAAGACGGATGCATTTGTTTTAAAATGAGGATCTGATAACTTTTGTTTTTTTGTTCATTGACCTATTTTAAGTCCAACACAGCTTTTTTTTTAGTTTTTTAATCTGCCCTCATGCACCTAACAAAAAAAAAAATCCAGCAAACTAATATTTTTTAAATTTGTCACAATTCAGTTCTCAGTCCAAAAACAACCACAACGATCCTTCCTGGCTGCTTCAGGACCAACGGCCTTCAAGACTTCAATAGCTGTGAGGGTTAAAGGCTGACAAAAAAACTAAAACAATTCTCCCTGCCAGCTGTCTGTGCCCTCGTCCTGCTCGATCTAAGCTTGTTTTCCTGATATTTCAAATTCAAATTATGCACAGAAACCTTGAGCTCACCATGCAGCGACAGGGAGACTTTCAACGGTTTGGAATCTTGCATCATTAACAATAACCTGAAACTTTATTTTCAGTTCCTTTCAGAATTCCCCTCTGAACTGTTAGATGCAATGTTTGTGTGCTTACAGCATATCTTGTGTTTCTATTCAAGTAAAACTGAAGAATTATGTTATGTAAATATATTTCTATAATACATTCCTATTCCCAATAAGCGTGTTAACAAAAATAGATTATATTTAATACATTAACATAATTTAACAGGTAAGTAGTTTGTGTTGTACTATAATTGATAGATCATTGAATATTAATAAATGAAAGTAGTAAATAAGCATTGGAAACAGCAATACTGAAAGGAAATTAACAAGTTTTACATGGCCACCATATAAAACAATCGATTTTCTTCCTCACAGACTGTAAAAGAGAAAATGGGTCTGTACTCATTTCACCTGTTTACGTTTGTCAGGATGTGTAAATAATGCACTGCTGTGTGAAGGAAGGAGTCTCATTTAAGAAGTCAGTAATGGGCTCAGATGAAAAAAAGGAACAATTTAAGAAGAAAAACGTGTTTGCTGCAATGTGTCTCAGCAATGGGAACTAAGATTTTAGGAATAATGTCACATCTGACTTTAACCTGTTCTGTTTGTACGTCTTAGAGACATTTAGATATGTTAACTGTTTTTAACACTTGCTGCAAAGTAGAGTGTTCAGAAGGTCAGAAACTGGACTCTGCCATTCTGTCTGTAACATTAATTTAAAATAAACATTGGATGGATTTTTATATTCCTGCCGCTTTCACTGATCCCTTTAATTTTTACATGTTTACTTACCTTACAAAGAAACCAAACTGAACCACACTTGGTTTGTTTTTTTATATAAAAGAAAATTAAACAAAACAGTCCAGAATGACACATGCTTTTTAAACAATCTTAAATCGACCCACCCATCTACCTTCTCCCTCAATCTTGTCAGAGTCGCGCTGTGGCCTGTGGTCTCTGGCAGTCTATGGGCGAGAGGCGGGGTACAACCCGGACAGGTTGCCAGTCTGCTGCAGAGACACACAGAGGCAACCATGCACTAACACCTAACAGACATGTTTTTGGACTGTGGAAGGAAGCAGGAGTACCCTGAGGGAACCCATGCATGCAGAGGGAGAACATGCAAACTCCATGCTGAGAGGCCCAGGGCCAGGGATCAAACCAACAACCTTCTTGTTGCCATTTTCTAAAAGGCAAAAAATAAATATTACAATCCCACAGTTACTGAAGCACCTACAGTATGTTGAGGTATTTCCACCATTCTTCTCTGCTCCTCTTCAGCTCAGTCAGGGCGTTTAAGAAGACAACTATTTAAGGTCTAAGCTTTGGTTAAAAACATCGACATGCGGCTCCTGAAGTCTCTTCTTAATTTTTTATCTGTAATGTGCTTCAGGTAATTTCAAGATAAATCGCCACCCTAGTCTGAGCTTCAGAGTGTTTTTGGCCACTGACCCTCTGAGCAGACCTGCCACCTAGCTCCCAACAGTGATGCTGCCCCCACCATGCTTCATAGTAGGGGTGGTGCTAGCATTGTAATGGGTAGTTCTCCTGATATGAGGAGCCCTGGTTTGGTATCGTTAGACCTCCAGCTCCAAGGATCCCTGAGGTATTTTTCAGCAAAATTCAATGAAGGTCCTGGAAGTTTCAAACTTCTTCCATTTCTAAATAAATAAGAGCACAGTGCTTTTTGGTTTGTTTAGAGCTACTGAAGCCTAATCGTATACTACAGCAGATTTGTGAGTTAACACAGTCTGGTCTCTCTAAAAGTCTACAGATCCTTCATGAATTTGTTCAATGATTCCATACGCGCACTCAACTGTAAGACCTCATATAGACAAGATCCAGTCATGTTCAATACAACAGGTAGATACCATTAAAGTTGTAGAAATACCTGAATAATGAAGTGGGCCATTAATCAACAAATTTATCTGGTTAACCAAACCACCAATAAAAATAGTTACTTCTGGTTTGCTAATCTGACGTTTAAGCTGTAGTCTAATGTAGTCTATGGACATAGAGAATAATTACAATGATGTGTGCAAGTACAGCATGCAAATCTTGGCTTTAACAGTCGTATTAAATAGTATTCAATTCCAAGAAGTGTTTGTGCCAACAGTGGTATCATACATGGGAGTTTGCCCTACAATCAAAGGTATGATGGTTCAAGTCCTGGTCCATCTTTCAGTGTTTTTACATTAATTAAATAATGTCTTGGTCAACGTGACCAATTTCTATTGGTTTCCCATTTCATCAATACAGATTGGTTGAAAGCACTACCAAATTAGATTGTTCTAATCAAAAGATTGGTCACAAACACCAACCAGATGGCTAAAACCAATTTTTTGGTTGTATTGGCCATCTGTTATTAGGGTGTGGAAACAGTGTGCAACGGCAGGTTTGGGAATTTATTTGTAAATGATGTGAATACCAATGTACTTGTTTTCATTTATATCTTTCCATACATTAACACACACACACACCAGTTGCAAGTCAGAAGAAAAGCAGAGCCGTCATCTCACCATTTGATTTTAATGGAAAAGCTGTCTACCATTAGCAATACAAGCTAATAACGTCTTCCTCTGCAGTTATTTAGTCAGAATTTAAGATTAAAAGGCAACTAAAACGCTACAACTCTGTTTTGGATCCTATTTATCCATCTAGAATATTCTTGTGGGTAAGACCAATAGCTGACTCAGTTTCTTTGGGATTGAAGCAAGGTTTTTGTACACATGCAAGACGTAGTAGTTGCTATATATTGTCTGCAATAGTGTGTTCATCCTGTGGCTCAGCTGCTGTATCCTAAAAAAAATCCCAGAGGATCACTTCCTTACCATCAGCCACACATAAAGCAACAATTATTAAGACATCTATATTTGAATGGCTGCAAGAAGCAAAATGAAAGTTAACTGCTTGGTTAAAGTCCTGACTCCATGATGCTTTAGGATTTAGCAGGACGCTTTATGCTTCTCCACATCTAGACATTTGTTAATCTTTCTCCCATGTAAAATTAATAATAAAATATACAAGTATGTGTCCTGGACTGCAGTAAGTTTTCCCCTGAAACATTTGCAAACACACTTTAAATAAAAACAAATATATCATTTCCTTCCTCAGTCCACTATTTATCTTAAGAATCCACATAAACAATCTTTTTGGTCAACAAATGAACATTTATTCATAGTCATTACAGATGAGGACAGTCTGCAAACACACATATGCTGAAAGTGGTTTGAATTATTTTTTTGTTCAAACAGCAAGCAGTTACAGCAGAAATATCATCTCTTCATTACAGCCTCTCACTTATACATCTTTTTAAGGCTCTTTACATTAAAACAGAACCCAAAACCTCTCCCATTCTCAAAAACTAACCTTCAGGAAGGTTAGTACACATTTCCACTCAGGATATATATTTACAAACAGCTGTTTACATTGTTTTCACACCGTTTGAAGGTTCACTAATGCTCCATTCTCTCTACGGGTGTCACACAGAGTTTTAAGTTGGTGATGAATGTCTAACACCCGTTTTATTCCCCATAAGACCTGAGCCAAAGAAAGGATCACAAACAAGAGAATGAATCCAACTAAACAGACAGAACAAATAAAATGCAAATTACCGGATGAGTGAACTTTAACAGCATGACATGGCGTTAGTAATGGGTTCCATTTGGAAGAAAAATAAATCACTAATTGGGTTTTTTCACTACATTTTCCTCCAAATCCACAACAGCTTCCAGCACATCCTCCCAGGCTGTGCTTCAAATCAAAGGTGCTGTATGCTCTGCAGTTCTCTAAGAAATAAATCCCAAAAATCAGCAATACAACTAAAAGTCAAGCGGAGGAAAATGTGATTAGATTACAAGGCTTTTTTAAATTGACATTTTTTGTTCACACTGATAAATCAAACAATAAAAGCAGAAAGTTAAGGAAAAGAAGGTAAATGCTTAAATTAACATCTTTTCTTTTTACAAATGAATTATTCTGAATAAATCTTGATTCATGTCGTCTTTCACAACCAAGCTGTAACAGTAGTAATATCTTGAGAATAAGAAATAAAGCATGAGCCTGTTTTCACATGCTGTTAAAAAACAAAAAAGTTTTTCTAGTTTTAAACAGTGAACTGAAATGTCTCTCTGGAAGGGAAAAGATAAAGTCCAATCATTCACACACACACACACACACACACACACTTTAAGATCTGTACATCACCTCAACAGTTTCCAGTGTGACCTCAACAGAGACAGTGTTTGTTTGGAAAAGTATGGCTGAAATGTGCACTCGGAGAGATTCAGTGTCTACACCACCCCCTCGATGAAACCGGTGTCCAGGTGAACGATGAGCATTCGCAGGAAGGACATCTCTTTACGTGTGTTCTCGAAGATGATCCGCGGGTCGTCCGAATGGCATCGGAGGCAGTTGGGAGCCATCACCATGGCCAGGTTGTTCACGTCCATCTTGGTTATGGCGACGTTGGACGGCTGGGCAAATACCTGGTGATGATAATGATGGTGGTATTAGAAGAAGGTATGAGGAAGGCTCCAGCTGTGTGCTGACTGACCTTTAACCTTTAAAAAGCCCCTCTGACAATTATATACTCTTTCAATAACTGACCATGTTAGTTGTTATAAGATCACAACACAGCCTTAACTTTCCAATCCTATTTTATAAATACATATAAAAAAAAAAAACAATGAATATCTTGAAATAATAAAAAACTTGGTTTATATACATCTGTGATGGTGCTCTCAAGTACCGTAATAAAAATTTTACACAAATTTTAGTTAGATTATCTTATCTGCCTCAGAAAGGTGACCGAACATTAGCTAGATATTAGCTGATCACCCAAATTTAAGGATATTGGAGCTGATTGATCTATATGTTTTGAACCTTTTGAAAAAGGAAAGGAGTATATTTGTATAAATGTAGAGTAGCTGAAAAAGACTAGCTACATTTACGTGCAAAATTTCCCTTCTAAACCTTGGTTGATCGAAAATTTAAATGTTCTGTATACACGGACACTGAATAAAATGATCCTATCATGAGGTGTGTTTACATGTACCAAGGGTTTGATCACATTAAAACATCTGAGCATGTGGAACTGTCTTGTTTTCCAGAAACCCTTTGGTAGTAGAAGAAGCTACCTGTTTTGTAAACAAACCAGTTATTTTCCACTCATCCTCAACTTTAGCCATACATATTGCCTTCCACATACATTTCTTCTTGTTCAGTTGTTGTGGATGCAGTTTTTTTTTTCATTATAGACCTTCGCTGCATCACACTTTTGTTTTTGGTGGTCATTTTAGTTAAGGGCTCAGCGATACCTTATGCTAATGCTCCTTTGTTATGGGGTAGAGGGGGAATGGCATGTTCATCCACATGCTACATTTAGAGCCACCTCCTCCTCCAAGGAGAACCAGGAGCCAGAAAATGAAGGCTGGTAAAGAGGAAAACGTCACAGTGATGTTGCACACATGCACAGAGGAGGTGATTTTACTCCAAAGACACTACTAGGTGTGTAAGTGGACACCATGTAGACCAAAAAAGATTAGAATCTTAAGTCTGAAATGTTTATATGACACATTTGTGATATGAACAATCCTCCACTACGATTATTTGTGTCCATGTAACTGAGCTAGTGTTTCCCCTTTGCTGCCTCTGGTAAAAAAAATCTTTATAAACAAAGCAGTCCTAGAGTTTTGTTTAGCCCTTTTCACCCAGACTAAGCGTCATGGGTCCAAGCAGAGCTAAATTTAGAGCAGTCTAGAAAGCAAACAGGAAGTTTTGTTTATTTTTTAGTGAGTTAATAAGTCAAAATCAAAGAGTTGATGGGTACAATTTAAAATCAGTTCATGATTTCATAAATCAAAGATCAGAGGTGTCAAGTAACGAAGTACAAATACTTTGTGTACTTAAGTACACTTTTTAGGTATCTATACTTTACTCCATTACTTATTTTTCTTCCTACTTCTGACTTCTACTCATTACATTTTCACACGAGTATCTGTACTTTCTATTCCTTACATTTTTCTTACTCGTTACTCTTGGCTTCAGTTTAATGTCTCTAAATATTTATTTCACGTCATGTGTGCCATCTAATGCAGATCATTGGCACCATCCACATCTAGTGAAAACAAGTGTAATTGGATGAGTCATAACGCAAACACTCATTGGTTAGCTATTCGTCAAATTTGTGCAGACGGCAAAGGAAATCATCAGAAGCAAGCAGGTGTTCTTCAAACTAAACGTGAATTGTCTATGCCATGCTACAATGTCGGATTCAGAAAAATATGTTGAAATGTCTGAAAGGTCTGACACAGGCGAGAGCGTATCGGGAGATGGACATTGAGACCAAAATCCTTGGCCCTATCTCAAAGAAGTTTTTTTGAAATAGTTGAAAAATTAAGCTTTCAATTCATATAGTGGCATCTGGCTGTTTTTTTTTTTTTTTTTTTTAAAGGTTACTTTATACTTTTATACTTTAAGTAGTTTTTGGAGCACATATTTTCACTTTTACTTGAGTAAAGAGGTCAAGTTGATACTTCGACTTTTAACAGAATGTTTTTAAACTGCAGTATCTATAGTTCTAGTAACGAATGTGTGTACTTTTGACACCACTGTCAAAGATTGAGTTTGCTAAATGAATATAAAAGAGCTGCATTTAATAAGCACCATAAAGATATAAACATGAAAAACTAGATACTTCCCAATCTTAGTATCTTTTTTTTTTTTTTTTATAAGTTTACAGACGGTGAAAAAAGACCATCCTCTTCCTGACCATGTCAGACCTTGAAGCTGACAAAATGATGAGAACTCATTGGGTTTTAATATTTTTTTCATTGCAAAGCAATGTAATCAGGAATCCTGGTCCAGTGGGGGTTATTACCTGAAGGAAGTGGATGAAGTAGCACAGAACCAGACGGTTCAGCTCTGGGAGGGACTGCACCACAGCTATGGCTGCCACCGGGTCATCACAGTTACTGATGCACTGCTTGTAGAAGTCCATTGGGATCAGGGGCTCCTCCAGCTCACGGTACCACAGCTTCATCAGAGAGGCTTCAAACGGAAACGTGTGTCAATGAATATGTTTAAGACCCGAGTGTTAACGGGTTAAACAGATCTAACCCATACCAGGAACATTCGGGTCAGTGAGATTCTCTGGAATCCTCCACTGGTCCACTTGGAGCTTTAATGCATTCACTTCATCAATATCTCCGGGCACTCTGAGGAAGAAAAAAAAAAACACCATAAGCAGGGTTTTTAAAAGCCAATAATAGTTTTTATTTATCTCAAAGTTAGGCCTTTATGAGCTTTTTAATGTGCATAAATGTTCCATTCTGGATCCTAACTGACATTTAGAGCAGACTTCAGCAGCTGAGGGTTATTGTATAATAGAAACATAAGCCCAGACGTCTACACTGGAACGGATTCTAAAGCTTTTCTGCATCATCAGGGAAATCAAATAAAAGGTTCTTTCCATGTTATTCACAATTTTCCTTCTGTTCTTGAACGTCTTTTGATCGAAGCAGGCGCTGCTTTAAAGACCTTCAGCCTACTTCATGTTGTCAGACAGGTTCTATTCCATTTTACTGAGGTTGGATTGGATTCAACATTTCTGTTTTAGTAAAACAACAACATAAATAAATGGGTTTGTGTTTAAATGTAACAAAAATGTTTATCTTTTACTTTTCCACAGGCCTGCAACCCACTAAAGCTTTTAAAAACCCCAAAGTGCTGTTACCCTCTGTGGCCACTAGAGGGACGTGTGCTTCTACTCCACATATTTCTTATATTGCTTTAGGTTTACATTTGTTGCAGATTGGTGCAACAAAGATAGAAATCAATCTAAAAGCCATGCAGTCAGCCCTTCTTCCACTAAAGATGGAAAACAAAGCCAGAGATGTTCTCCAGAAATGTTCCTTTACAGAATACAGGGTCCTCAGTAAGGGGATCTGGTTTGTATACATGTGGGGATCATAGAGAATTCAGTCTCACTGAAAACACCGCTGAGAGCAGCTTGGACAGTACAGTAAACACATATCAGCTCATATCAAATTACACAGCCCCGTTCTAAGGAGCAAAGCACGGCTCTGTTTATTGTGTCTGTTTGTGTGCTGTAGAGAGACAGGGACTGTGTAGAGATAAAAAGAACATGAAGACCACACACACACTAACTATAGAGACTAGAACCTATATATGCATGTAGTTGGTAAGAAGTCCTTCTAATTTGCTACACTACAGCTCTGTCCCGTCGCTCACATGGAGGCGGGTCGTTGGATCTACTTTACCTGAAGATGCCCTCTGTCTGAGCCCCGCCCAGAGCCAAGACATACTGGGACAGCTGAACCTGCACCCAGGGTAGCTTCCTGTCTGGGAAGAGCTCGCTCTGCCTCTCCATCACTTCCTCAAGAGAGCTGCCAAAAAGAGACGGGGTGATGATAGCCCGTCTGCTGTGGTCGATCTCCTCCAAGGTGGGCTTACGAAGACCCTGGAAGGAAACAGGGGAGCAGAGGAAGATTTACAATCAGAGTATGTCAGAGGATTGTCTTGCTAATCATGGCTGTGCCTGCAGCTGCTGTGACTGGTTCTGTTTACGTCTCCACCGGTGACTGTTCCCGTACACCTGTAATTATGGCTCCCTGTGAGACGGCAACCAGGATGATTCACCTCAGGTTCTCACCTCTCAAACTGATACGCATCATGACCTACACACATTTGGTTTAAAAACCACACTTATCCTGCCTTTCGTTTCAACAGTCTTTTCAGTTTATTTGAAAGGCCGAGATTAAAACCCTTAATCAAGGGCACACTAAAATCAACAGCATGGTTGAAAAGATAAAGTGATCAACATGGATGGATGGATGAAGGGATAGATAAGTGAATTCAACAGAAAAAGGATGGGAAAACATTGAAAAATTTCACTCTTAAGAAATTTTTTTAATAAATCCCTTGTTTTCTCTGCTCACCTTTTTGCCTCCTGTGATGGCCACCTTGAGCAGCTTCCGATGGCAGAACTTAGCATAGGTGCTGATAGGAAGGCCTGGGGAGAAAAGAGCAGGCCAGTTTATGACCAAAGAAAACCAACTTTTCAGGAAACAAAACACAAACCCTTCACTCCACCCTCAAAAGATCCCAAAACAAAAAAACAGAAAAAAAACTGTAGAGGGGAGTCAGTCATCACTGAATGCACCAAACAACAAATCATTTAAATTCTTTCCCATGAACAGCAACAGCAGTGTTTTTATTTCCCACAGATGTCAGACAGAGTTCGGGCAGCAGGCGGCGGTAACTAGAGAGACATGTTGATGGTGCGACCCTGGCATGCAGGGATTAGAACGTACCCGGTTAAACTGTCAGGCTGAGCTAAGATTTACTGCTGTTGAACAAAAGTCATTCATCTAACTCTCAAGTGATTCATCAGCTCTACACTTAAAGGCCTCAGGAGAGATTAGGAAGCACTGGAGCTTCCTGCCCTGAGTATCCCTCAGATCTTTTAAGAGAAATGCATTAGAAGAGCCATTTCCAAAAACCGGATGCACCTCAAGAATCGGATCCGGCAGAAAAGTACCTCTAAAAACTCTTCAATGAAAAGCAAAAAGAAACCCCCCGACATTCAGGCAGGGAAATAATCCCCATCTCTCCTCACTGAGGTAACGTAAACCAAACACTCTACTCTTGTGGGTTTAACGTTGCTCTCTGATTCCATTCATTGAGGAAAAGGAGAAACCATCTGGGGGGATTTCAGAAGCAACAAACCTCCAGCCTGATGTCAAACCTCTTAGATTTATTGGAAACAGGTGACTGAACAAGATCTTAATCTAATAAACATCATACTGTAATTATATTGATTAAGAACAATAATTTGTCCTTGATCTATATAATCTTGTCTCCCAACATAGAAGCCTATCCCTCAGAGGGAGAGACGACCTGTTCTGCTGGTACTCGACACCGTCGCTGTATATTTGCATCAGTTTTGATTCCATCAGTGCAGCAACAACCAAGCAACCAAAGCCTGGGAGGAATGGGAGCTCATTAAAGGCTTGACTGGTGCTGAACCAGGCTGAGAACACGACACCAAACAACACGCACTAAAATTACACTCAACAACAAACATACCAAGTTATTCCAGGATGATGCAAATGAGAGACTACCTCTGTCTCATAGTGACTGTTTATGGAACGGATGAAAACAAACCTCTCTGGGTTTCAGACTAAAACGGTTCTGAAGCTCTCTCTGAAGTCTCCTGTCTCCATATTAAACCCGCAGCGCTGCTGATCACAGCTTCTTCTTAAAGGATTCGGGCTCTTTCAAAGTGTGAAGCCTTTTAATTGACAGATAAAGTTGTGAATAACTGAAGTGGGATGAAAATTGTAGATGGGTTTTATATGAAAGGTCTTCCTCCTGGATTCAACAATAAAAACACCTTCTAATGTCAATTACAGAGCAAATCTATTCGAGTACATTTCTACACTGCATTCTACCTCTAAAAGGCTGGAAATATTGGTGATTCTTTTTTCATTAGAGCTCAACCTCAGTCAGAATGGATGTGATGTAAATCCTGAGCCAGATTCTTAGGATGTTGGACTGAGCTTAACCTGGGTCACTGACACTAATCGAAGCCCTTGGTTGGAAACTGTAGCTCTGATAAAGTTTCAGCTCATAATCTTGCCCCCTCAGCATGATACTGCCGCCATTGTGTCCCGGAATGTTTTCAAGTTTTTTCCCCCATTTTCCATACAAGTTACCTACTCTGTTCCTTGTATCAAGCCATGAACAGGATCTCGTATCATTTAAAGACAACAGTCAGCAGATTCTTGAGCTGTGGATCTCTTCAGCTCTTACAGAATTACCTTTAGCTTTCAGGCCTATTCACTTCTGGTAACTGCTCTTCTGATTATTTCTCATTTAGCTCGCTGTAGTTTTATCTATCCTCTATTTTGGAAGAAAAAAGAACAGGGCTTTAATGTTGAAGCTCTTGCTATTCTTTCAAAGCATTAAAACACCTCTTTGGTGTTCTCCTTGCTCTTCAAGATGCAGTTCATAGTAAAGGGGGACTGAATTATTATCCTTTTTTCATAATTATCTGCCCATTTGTGTCCGTTGAATCAAACTTGTTAAAGATGGTGGTAAAATAAGTTGTGAGAATTACTTTTCCATCTGTCATCTGACCAGTGGCCTTCTCTTTTGACCTCTTAGTCAGCTCTACTTTGTTCTGTGTGAATCTGAATCTCTGAGGCACAATATGAGGCCTCGGTAGGGGCGCTTAGCGGTTGATGACTCCTCCTCGTGACATCATCCAAGTCAAAGGAGTTAGTCAAATGAAGACGCGTGCTGATGATGAGGATGGTTCACAGAGCCGATCACAGTGGCTGTAAAGGAGCGTCTGAAACTCTCCTCTTGTTTAACTTTCTGTGAAACCCACTGGCTGTGTGCCAGGAAATCATCTTGCACTATGACAAACTCCACCGCGCTGAACTTTCCATCCCACTTACAGCGCTCGCTCTACAGGGAGTGATGCGTTTGATTTGCAATGGTTTTACATATTTTAGTGACTACAGACAACTTCTGTAGAGAGTAGAAAACCACGTGTGGGTCTCCCAGGATCCTTAAGCAAAGATCCAACAGAAACGCGTGCGCAATTGGGAATTACTGAGGAGGGCTTCTTGGAAAAAGCAGCATTCTAAAAACGATGAGTGAAAAAACATACCTTCTTCTTCCTCCGTGTTCTGTTTCCTCTTTTTTCTGGACTTTGAATTTTTCTTCAGTTTTAGTTCCTGCTGTTCCAAAATAAACTGTGTCACTATGAACACAAAGAGAGCAAACATCAGTTTTCTGGTGGAGTGGAAATCAAGCAGCATAAAAAAAATACAGAAAAGATCTACAGAAACAAATGATTAAGGGGAGAAAAAAAAAATCATTCTGCTAAAAAACAAAATCGGTGATGCTGGTGTAAACAGGGAGGAGCAGACAGAAAGAAAGGTGACCCACCCTGTGCCTCAGTCTGAGACTCACATTTCTTGTCGCTGTTGGGCTCCGTGTGTCTTTGGATGTAGCCCTCCAGGTAGCAGCGAAACTTGGGCGAGGGGGCAAAGAAGGCCAAGCTGACAGCCATGAGCTCCCAGCCCGCCGCCAGGCTCCGGGGGCTGGCGTTGCCTGTGGTCTGTCTCACCAGCTGCACGTAGAGCTCATCCCGCAGCCCCGGCATGTCCCAGCACTTTGTGACGATGAGCAGCGCGCAGTGGCGGCGGTCGAGCCGCGAAGGCCTGTCTCCCATGTAGGCCTGAACCAGCTTGAACATCTCGCAGGCCTCCTTCCTGATGGCGCGGTCGCTGGTGACCAGCATTGGCTTCTTGATGGACCCGCGGTTCCAGGATAACATGCTGGCAATGGAGACGCGGCGGCGGAACAGACCTTGCGTGTGCATGTTGAGATGCTTGCTGGCCCAGTCCTCCATGCCCATGTCAGGTGGTGGAGGCTTCCGCAGGGTAGCATAAGAGAGCTGGTAGGAGGATCCTCCTCCACGCCCTCCTGCCCCATCCGCTCCTTCTCGGTTGTCGTGGCTGGCAGAGCGATGCGGACCTAGTGAAGCCGTCCGTCCATCCACCATGCCTTTCTTCCTGCTCTCCAACTGAGCCTGCAGCTCTAGGGTTCCCGCCTGCGAGGGAGAGAAGAGAACGACGCGAATAAGAGAGGTAGAAATATTAAGGGGGAGTGGGAACTAAAGATACAAACTGATGGTAGCTGCATTCTTCATTGTGTCACACCAAGAGCTGGGCTGCTTTTCACCTAATATTCTCCTCTCTGCAGAGCTGGGACTCCAGGGAAAACTGGAGCAAGATCGGCACATTCATTTAAGATAAAAGTAGATTCTTCTAAACACTGGCTACAAGTCAGTAGAACAGTCCTAACCTCTCCCCTTCCCTGCATCAGTCAGACCTTAACAAAGACAAAAAAAAACAAAAAAAAAACCCCTCTTCCCCAGACCTCCCTCTGAACTTTGCGGTAGAGTAAACCGGAGCTGTGCCTCCTCACCAGAGAAGGCCAGGAACAACACACACCACGAGCCAAAGCTCAGGTTTTATCGTAGAACATAAAAAGCAGCAACATGTGGTGTCACTGGGCCTTTGGGGAGCATGAAACGATGGAAAACTGGATTATAGATTTGGGTTTTCAGTTTAATGTGAGGTTTGGATCGACAGAGTTCACAGCGCTCTTTGACCGAATTAGAGACGTCAACTCTTCATGAGGGACGGTTATCTTAACAAGATGCCTTTAGGTTTTAAAAAGTTATGTTACAGGAAAACTGAAAACAATTTTTCATGCTACTCAGTAGAGTTTAAAGCCTGTTTAATAAGGAAAGACAGAAAGCTCTAGACCGAGTTTTCTCTAGCAGCAAAGTAATGCTTGCCCCACCCCCACGTGTTACTGAAACTTTTCTTTTTATAACTTTGGTTGTTTTAAAATATTCCAGTTAGCCAAAAAAAAAAAAAAACAACCTATTTCTTTAATAAGGTAACTTGTTTAAGTTATCAAGCTACAGAAATTTCGGACTTTAAAAAAAAATATTTTTTTTACGTAAGACAAAAAATTCTAACTTAATATGATTAATTAAAAGCTCCATCAGTGAGTTGTTTAATAAGTTAAATATTCAAGTTTTTTTTTTAGCCCTTTACATATTAAGTGATTTTATATCCCCTAAAGTTTACCAAACTTTAACACCTTGCAGGATAGAAATCTTAAACCATAAATTTAGAAAAAGATTTAACCAAATACTAAAACCCCAGCTTTCAAGCCAAACATTTTTTTAATGTAAACATTTTGACATGATTGAAGTAGACGAAACATTGATAGAATTCTGTTTTTTTTTTAAATAATATACGAAATATATACTAAGGCTAATTAAGGACCTGTAATTTAAAAAAAAATTCTAGTTCTTTGCAGATAAATTTGTACATTCAGAGCTTGTTTATTCTACATTTTGACTTGCACCCCTTTATTGACATCCTCCTGATGAGAAAAATGCTTTTTATTTTCATTGGTTGCTTGTGCTTAATAAGCAATAACAGTTTCCTTAAATCTTAAATTAAGCAAATTATCAGGTAAAAAGTTCTATAGCAAGGGTTTAAAAGTTAACCATGAATAAATCATGTTTATTTTTGATCCAGCCGATCCAGCTTAAAAAAGAAGAACCAACACTGATTTATTACTGCATTTTCTGAATGGTATTACATTATCTATGATATTTATTTATTTTAATGTTTTTTTTGAGCTGCGATGGACTGGCGATCTGTCCAGGGTGTACCCCGCCTCTGGCCCGTAGACAGCTGGAGATAGGCACCAGCACCCCTCACGAACCCGCTTTGGATAAAGCGTGTCAGAAAATGGATGGATGGAAGTTTTCTTGGATTTTTTTGGGACTGGTGGTTCGTTTTTGGACAGTAAGCTGACAGGAAAGGGGGTACGAGAGAGGGGGAAAGACATGCGGCAAAGGACCCCAGGCCAGATTCAAACCCGACATGGGTCGTGTGCGCCAACCCCTGCGCCACCAAAGCACCCCCCATCACCTATGATATTTAAATCCAACAAGTATAGGATTGAGCTGTCAGCAGGTCAGAAGAACATTCCAATAGAGACTTAAGGGGCCAATGCTCCTTCGGGTTTTGAAACAGGCAGGAGCTACAGTGGTACAGTCAGGCATCGGTACAAAACTGCCTCTCTCCTCCTCTTCCTCCGCACAATCCTGGGACATATGGGCCACAGCGGTCCTTCTTCCTGACCAAAGGAGGCCATGTCCTGAATCTCTCTAGCCTGGCATGGGCCTCGCTACCCAAGCACAGAGCTGCCATATGAGTTTAGAGCGCCTGCAGTGCAGGGCAGATGGACAGCCATAAGAGGATGACTGCTATTGCTGCAACCATTGCCTTTACTGTTAGACCTACAGGTGCTGGTCATAAAATTAGAATATCATGAAAAAGTAGATTGATTTCAGTAATTCCATTTAAAAAGTGAAACTTGTATATTATATTCATACATTACATACAAACTCATATATTTCAGATGTTTATTTTGTTTAATTTTGATGATTACAAATGACAACAAATGAAAATCTCAAATTCATCATATCAGAAAATTAGAATATTACTGAAGACCAATAAAAACAAAGGATTTATAGAAATGTTGGCCAACTGAAAAGTATGAACATGAAAAGTATGAGCATGTACAGCACTCAGTATTTAGTTGGGCCTCCTTTGGCCTGTATTACTGCAGCAATGCGGCGTGGCATGGAGTCGATCAGTCTGTGGCACTGCTCAGGTGTTATGATAGCCCAGGTTGCTCTAATAGTGGCTTTTAGCTCTTCTGAATTGTTGGGTCTGGTGTATTGCATCTTCTTCTTCACAATACCCCATAGATTTTCTATGGGGTTAAGGTCAGGAGAGTTTGCTGGCCAATTAAGAACAGGGATACCATGGTCCTTCAACCAGGTACTGGTAGCTTTGGCACTGTGTGCAGGTGCCAAGTCCTGTTGGAAAATGAAATCTGCATCTCCAAAAAGTTGGTCAGCTGCAGGAAGCATGAAGTGCTCTAAAACTTCCTGGTATGTGGCTGCGTTGACCCTGGACCTCAGAAAACACAATGGACCAACACCAGCAGATGACATGGCACCCCAAACCATCACTGACTGTGGAAACTTTACACTGGACTTCAAGCAACGTGGATGAAGTGCCTCTCTTCTTTTCCTCCAGACTCTGGGACCTTGATTTCCAAAGGAAATGCAAAATTTACTTTCATCAGAGAACATGACTTTGGACCACTCACCAGCAGTCCAGTCCTGTTTCTCTTTAGCCCAGGCAAGACGCTTCTGACGCTGTCTGTGGTTCAAGAGTGGCTTGACACAAGGAATGCGACAGCAGAAACCCATGTCTTTCATACGTCTGTGTGTGGTGGTTCTTGAAGCACTCACTCCAGCTGCAGTCCACTCTTTGTGAATCTCCCCCACATTTTTGAATGGGTTTTGTTTCACAATCCTCTCCAGGGTGCGGTTATCTCTCTTGCTTGTACACTTTTTTCGACCACATCTTTTCCTTCCCTTCGCCTCTCTATTAATGTGCTTGGACACTGAGCTCTGTGAACAGCCAGCCTCTTTAGCGATGACCTTTTGTGTCTTGCCCTCCTTGTGCAAGGTGTCGATGGTCGTCTTTTGGACAACTGTCAAGTCAGCAGTCTTCCCCATGATTGTGTAGCCTATAGAACTAGACTGAAAGACCATTTAAAGGCTTTTGCGGGTGGTTTGAGTTAATTAGCTGATTAGAGTGTGGCACCAGGGGCCATCAATTTTGAACCTTTTCACAATATTCTAATTTTCTGATATGATGAATTTGAGATTTTCATTTGTTGTCATTTGTAATCATCAAAATTAAACAAAATAAACATCTGAAATATATGAGTTTGTATGTAATGTATGAATATAATATACAAGTTTCACTTTTTAAATGGAATTACTGAAATCAATCTACTTTTTCATGATATTCTAATTTTATGACCAGCACCTGTATATGTACTTTACTCTTCCCTACAGCTTTATAAGGACATACATACGTTGTTATGCCTCATATCTAAACTGGGCATTGTTAGAGAATAAAGAAGGCAGCAGCTAATCTGGTTGAAAACATGTCGGCGTTGATAATAGACAGGATGGCTGTGGGAAATAAGTAGGCATTACAGATATGCTTAACACAGCAAACCACTGAGGGAGTTACTGCCCTGAGCTGATAAAAGGCCAAAGTAGGGCCCACCTCTACAGTCAGGCTCTGCTCCTTAACATCCTGGGTTAAATGCCTCACCCAGAGAGATTGCTGTTATAAATCTTTACAGAATAGTATTGAAGATGAACTTTGATCTCCTAGCACTGTAAACTGAATAGAAGACAATTATTTCACCTGGTCTTCATTCTACATGTATAGAGATTTGATGAATCAGACAGACAAGGGTTAATGGGCGTCAACACCAGGTAAAAGGGTTAATAAACAGCTTACTTCCAAGCTGTTCTTACACGCTTGACTTTATATGTTTAAATGTTTTAAGAGGTAAAAACATTTCCCTTTTGCAGAAAGGTTTCTTTCTGCAACTTTAAATATAACCCAAAAATATTCAGTGATATTTAAGAAAAACATCTAAAAATCAGTCAGCAGGTACATTTCTGCTCGGCTAAACAATTTGTTCATTGTGCCTTTGAGGAACTAGAAGCAGGCACGTCTATAAATGCCAACAAGTCATAGATGAAAACAATGATGCCTTATTCGAGCGCAACCAGAGGCCTCACTTGGCCAACTAACGCTTTTCTTATCAAACAGTTAATCTACGGAGAAATCAGGGATCAGAGCTCCACCAGCTTAAATATATTTAAGCTTTTTAATGACATACTAAAGACAGCGTCAGATTAGCAGACACATTTATTCATACAGCTACAGACTAGAAATGCATCAAGAAATAGAGTGCTGAATTGGGCAATTTGCAGCTCCACTGGCTCTGGTCTACCAGGTCACACTGACAATTACTCTGTTCCAGAGTGAGAAAGGCTTAAAAGTTGCTATTTTCTACATCAGTCAGGTGTTTAAAATGTAAAACCAGGTCAAGGAGGAACAGAGCCGTAACAGGCCATCATCAAGCTACTGTATATAAACTGCAGCTGCAGAGATCAAGCAGGGAGAGATGGGTTTTAGGCAGATAAAAAGGAAAGCTAAATGTATTCTAGTTTGGTTTTATTGCAGCTTTTACCCTCTGCCTCTCATGGAGCATGGATTTTTAAAGGAACAGTGACCTGCAGGTTTGAGAGGATGCTGCTTCAACCCCATTTACCTCCTCATCGTGTTATCAAGTTATGCAGAGGTCTGCTAGCTAATTTGTAATAGAAACACAGATTTATGTTTACAGTTAACAATGCTAACCGCTATTATAGGTTGTAAAATATTAACATCAATGAATGTTTGGCTTTGTAATGAAATATTTGGTAAACAATAAAACCTTGGCGCTCTGATCAGCCCATCTCTCCAACCAATAACTAGTAGATTACCTGTGATGGTGGTCCTGGTGTCTCCGGTGATGAAAGGCTGGCCTGGCTGTTAATGCTCATCTCCAAGGTATCCACCTTCTCATAGGTCCTCTTTTGCCTCCCTGGAACATCCACTGGGGTCAGGGCAGAGGGGCCATAGTAAGCCATCCCCTTTAAGGCCCGTGGAGCGCCACTGATGTCCTCTTGTGATGGACACCTGCCTGTAGAGCTCCCTCCTCCTCCAAACCACCTGAGCGAGTCTGCGGGGGAGAGTGTGCGGGGTACAACCCCCCTCTCCCCCATTTCTGGGTCCAGCCCAGCTCTCACCTCTCTCATGGTATTGGAGCGACTCACCACCTCCCTCATTTCTGCCATAAGTCTCTCATTTAGGGCGCTAAGCTCTCCGCTGCTTCCTACCGACCCCGGCCTGCCCCCTGCCACTCCACCGGCTCCCACCCGCCTCCTGCTTTTTCTTCTCAGGCTTGGAGAGGGCCCTGTGGAGTACCCAGAGTCCTGGTAGTTGGCTGTGGCCTGGGGAGTTGTGGATGGGAAGTCCTGCGAGGCTTGGCTGCTCTGCCTGCTGTGTCGTGCATCCATGGCACGCTGCACAGTGGCCTCAAGGATCCGCCAATTATGCTTTTTGTCCAGTGAACTCGGTCCCGGGGTTCCTGGCTCTCTGTCCCTCGACTGACCTCGAGACTGCTGTGACGGGTGTGGCTGTGACTGGGGCAGAGTCAAAACACGGTCCTGTCTGGAGGTAGGGGAAGCAGCTCGTGTGGGCAGGGGGGAGCTGTTTGGAAGCCCCTGTTTGGGGTCCACATTGACCATGTGCTTGATGCACTCCAGACCAGCTGGGCTGTAGTCAGAGGAAGAAGGGTCTCTCCGGTGTCTAGACCCCAGATGAGAGGAAGCTGGGTGTGGGAGGAGTCTAGGCTTTTGAAGACTTTGAGTAGGGGTCAAACGAGACAAAGGTTGTCCATTATACAGGTGGGCCCCCTCTACTTCCATATCTGTAGGGGGTTCATCATATATGGGACAGTCTAAAACTGGTTCATCGTAGATCGGGGCGGTGCAACCATACTGAGGAGAGACAGGGCGAGGGGTGCAAGTCTGTGACCTATGGAGGAGTGGACTGGGGTGGCCGCTGTCTGATGTCACCAAACAGAAGCTACCGTTACTGGCTTTCCTTATGTGATGAGCCGGACGTGCATCACTGGCCATTTTGCCAGCAGGGGCTGTTTTATATCCCTGGCTGGAGTTCAGGTGTCCTCCGTGGGATTTGCTGCAAGAAGGGTGCAGGGAGGCAGTGCTGGTTTTGATGTGTGTGTTGTGCTGCAGTGGTGGGACGGGCTGGCTGCGCGGCATGCTGTTCACCTTCACCAACATGGCCGCTTTAGAACCGGGAGTAGGCTGCCATCTCTGCGAATTATCCCTGGAAAGAAATCCATGAGATTTGAGTTAAGTGAAAGCAGTAAAGCATCTGAAAGCTAAACAAACCCTTAAAAGACAGTCATAAAAGCAGCATCATTATATATGATAAGTGCAGGCATGAGAGCGCTGGGAAAATCTGCCATAAAGTCTTTTGCAAATATTTCCCTAACCTCTAAAGACTTGAGTCCATTTATAGCGTCAGAGCCACAATAACTCCTGTGTGCGTTTAAAAAAAAAAATTATCAAAAGCCTAAAAATACTGAGTGGCTGAACAAAACACATCCCTCCTAAGGTCGTCCTATTAGGTGTGACTCATGTCTGAGGGACAAACTCGAGTCGTGCAAAATATTTACTTTGAGTCATGTGTAGATGATCAGACTCTGCTATGCTGCATCACTGAAGAGACATTTGAACTATGATACAAACCACAGAGATCTGGATGAAGTCAGAACCACAGTTACTCACAGATGGGGCTTCTCTCTCCCTTTTTGGGTGGAATGACCAAGCAAACTTCAAAGCCAAGAGCCGGCTAATCCCAGCAACGCTAAACAATCCGCCATCAATCTGGTCATGCTGCCCTCATCGCTGCTGTTGCCTTATAATCCTCAACTGCAATCTCATCAAAATGTGACCAACTTCTGTTTCTAAAGACCAACACGAGTCTAAGAAACATGTAAACAGAAAGTTGCTCTTTTTTTGGCTTAGTAGAAAGGGACTTTAGGCTGGGTTTAGATGGAGACCAGGCAGACTTACCTTCTCACACTCCAACCTGGTCCAGGACGGTAATTAATTACATCAAAGCCGATCATCTGAGTAAATCCAACCAAACAGATCGGTGCCGGGCTGAGAACTAGTGGTTCAAGTGTCTCTTTACCAGCAGCAAGCAGATTTGAGTTGGGTTGTAACAGCAGGAAGAGGACGCTGAGGGAGGAGAGTAGGAGGTGGAAAGAACCCCCTCCTCCTGCCCTCTACGTCTCTCTGGAACAATGCTGGAACAATTCCCTAGAGGTCCCTCACACCAACGGCAAACTTCCTTCAGTCCTTCCAGCTACAGCATGGCCCTCCATCTCTCCATCAGGACCCCCCACCCACTTACACACACACACACACAGAGTGAGTCATGCTGCCTCACACACATCCTAAGACACACCCACAGATTCACCGTCCAGGCATGGGACCAGGAAAACAACCTGTTCACCATAGAGCCTCTTCCTCACCAGTTTAACCAGGATGTTTTATTGCCCACCTAACACATCCACAGGCAAACACGTGCGACAAAACGCCACCGTTCTAGTGTGACTGTATTAGGTTACAGAGGGTGGTGGGGTGACGAGCAGCAGCTATAAACATGTGGAGCCACTGCCTGCTCTCTTTGAAACAAGGGGGTTTGTTTTCTCACGTTAGTCTCATCAAACAGGAAGAGGAGCCACCTGGGCAGGTGACGACAACCAGGTATTTTAGCACCGAGGAAAATAATAAGCCAATGGTCTTAAAAACAGGTTTCCCTGACAAATAAAAAAACATCTCTGGGGTTAATGACTTTGCCTTGTGAATAAAACATGACTGTATATTTGGGTTGTGACTAATTTTCTGAGGATTGACCCCGAGAGAGAAGTGACCACTACTTCCTGTCTGGAGAATACAGAGAAAGGGCTTCCCTTTATTCTGTACAAACAGGAAATGCTTCATGTGATGTTCACACGCTGCAGTCATGGAGCAGTGCAGCTTCTTCACACACGTGGAAGAACGCAGGGTTTCATTGTGACGTAGAGGGAAAAATAAATAAATAAACCAGACATAAAGGCCCAGGAAGGTTGTAGGAAACTAACTTTGGACTTCATCTCATTATGCCCCGAACAGAACAAATGCAAAACTACCAAAACAAGGAGGAACTGATGGAAAGATGGATTTTACTGCTTTTAACGGTTGATCTGTAAAGCACAGCTGCATTATTATAGTATTTTCATTCATCAAAACTCGGAAAACTATCTTCATATTTCTTGTAATTGACGATTTTGTGCTGCCTAATAAATTGTGAGGTTTGTGTGATCTATTAAATAAACGCTTAGCAAGTTCTTCAGGGCTCCTCTGATTTTAGGGCTGGATGATCAACAATATAAACTAAGTAAAAACCAAGAATTTTCAGAACTAATTCCTACAAAAAAAAATTATTTACCATATTTATGAAGCTCCTCAAAAAGCACATTTAAGACACATTTGCTTGAGAAAAAAATAAAAATGCTGTATTTTACAGACTGTAAAGCGCACTTCAATATAAACCGCGCCCACTAACATTTTTGGGAAGAAAAGAAAAAAAGGAAACTTACACAAATAAGCCAAACCGGGCTATAAGCCGCTGATATCTACTAAACCGTCACCCACCCAACCTGTAGGTGGAGCTCTACATATAGCCCCTAGAGTAGGGACAAAGAAGAATGCTAGCTCCCGTTAGCCTGTAGGCTCGCAGCAGTAAGAGCTTCTATTTCAGCTCTGCAGGAATCGAACCCTGTCTCTTCATTGGTTCGGCAGCATTAACGGCAAATAAATGGCAAAATGTGCGAATTGGGGACATCTGTTCTCCGTTGTTCCTGTTGCTAGTATGTTCTTGTGCCAAATGAAAATTAACTCCTTATTCTCTCATTTCCAACTTTGACTTCCTCCTCGGTAGTTAGGAAAATAAAAGTTGCAACTTCTTATAAGCTGCATGGTTCAAAGCGTGGGAAAAAAAGTAGCGGCTTATAGTGTGGAAAATATTGTACATAGGACCACCTAAACTAAAATTATATTGCAACATTTCATTATTGTCACAAACACAGGTTTCTAAGGCCAATGCAGATATTTTTTATCAGTTTAATGGCAGATTTTGTTTTCTCTTCTTCCATTTGCACGATAAAAATTACAATGATAAATGTTATACAAGTCTTAATTTGGGAAAAAAAAGAAAAACAAAGACCTTCATTAAATTAAACATTATCAACAGGAAGGGAAAGGAGGTAGAGGCAGTGCATGTGCTTTACGTGATCCCAAAGCATAGCTGCTGAACACAATGAATCGACCAATCCAGCTGATGCAAAACTTATAGACCAAAAATATCGGCTGGCCAATAGTACATTTACCCAGCCTTAGCACATAGGCCTCAAGATGACTATCAAAAATGATTTCACCCCAACATAAAGCTGTAAATTGTATCCAGTTTCTTTTTTAAGGCTTGTAATTTCGCTGCATACTACTGTAATCCCAGTTAATGAAAGGTCTGATTCCAAAATCTGGACCAACACAGTGCTGAGAAAACCCAAAGCTACATGGGGGTGATTTTGGTAATTTTAGTGTAGAGAAACAACACAGTGTGTGTGTGTGTAAATGAGAAGGGGTGGGGATTAGTCGTGGGAGAGTGCAGCGAGGGAATGAGCGGGAAGGCTGGAATTCCTCAGGGCTCTTTCAGGGGTCTTTGTGGCAGTGAGTCGAGCCTAACACAATGCATGGCTGTGCCATCGTCACGGAGACGCCGCTCTCAATGCTAGCAATGGAGATCAAGAAGCAGACGGAGAAAGAGCCATCTCTGACCTCTGGTTAGTCCTGCAGCATCCGGGTTACGTAATGCAGAGCAGGCCCGGGGCGTCACTCTGACCAACCACAAAGAAAGCGGTTTAGAAAAGGGTTTGTCGTTTGCCTTGTGAGGTGTTAGCCGACAAGAGGCTTGTTTCCCCATTATCACAGAAGTTTACTTGGGTACCTTCAGAATGCATAGATTATGTGAGAACTGTTCAATTGGGAACAGCCCTCATTTGCAAACCCTTTGGTTCAGAACATGGAGGTTTCATGTGATAAAGAAATGTTAAATCAGATAAGCTCTGAGCTCCTCTGACAGCAAATGAGTTAATCTGATGAAATAAATCAAGTTAAATCTCAGAGCTCCTTTGAAGGTTTTACCATGCCCATTTCCTTTTTTTTTTTTGTGAAACCTATGAATTTCTATTTAGCACATCTGGGTCAGTACTTTCCAGAAGCATCTTTCACTGGTGGGAGTGGTTTTTCAACAACTTTACTCGTTTGGACTGAGATTTTAGCCCATTGTTCTTTGCAGAATAGCTCAATCTCAGTCAGAGTGGATGGACACCAATTTTAATTAGGCCCGAGCAGCTCACCGCTGCGAAGGCCTATTGTTCCTGTATCGTTTATTCTTTTTTTTTTTCTCCGCTTAAATGAAACGGCTTTTTGGGGGCTTTAGCATGTTCAAAAACTCACCAAACTTCGCAGTAAATTGTCCCCCTAGTGAAATTTACGTATGATAATGGAATCCAAAATGGGCGTGGCCAAATGGTAAATGGTAAATGGTAAATGGCATGTACTTATATAGCGCCTTTATTCAAGTTAGGAGACTTGACCAAAGCGCTTTACACTACATTCATTCACCCATTCACACACACACTCACACACTGATGGTGGCAAGCTACACTGTAGCCACAGCTGCCCTGGGGCTCACTGACAGAAGCGAGGCTGCCGTACACTGGCGCCACCGGGCCCTCTGACCACCATCAGTAGACAATGCAGGTGAAGTGTCTTGCCCAAGGACACAACGACAATGAAAGTCGGAGTCGGGGCTTGAACCGTCAACCCTTCGATTACAGGGCAAACTCCTACATCCAACGCCACTATGGCTCTACAGCGCCCCCTAACGTGAGTTGGGGAAAACCGTAAGTCACAGAGATTTGACATTTGGCAGGTGCAAAGATCTCACCAAATCATGAAAAAAGTTACATTATGGGTATGCTCTAAAACCTACAGGAAGTCAGCCATTTTGGCTCAAAGGCCGATTTTTGCAGATAAGGCATGTGAGATCTAAACTTATCAAACTTTTTGAGTTTTCCAGCATTTTAAAGGGGTGTGGCCAGGCCTCGAAGTTGGCGTACTCGCCAAAATTTTCAAAATGCAATAACTTTTACATATGAAACTGAAATGACACGAAACCTGGTAGTATTATTCCTCTCTCGGTTCCCAACA